ATCTCTGAACTTTTAACAAGTTCCTCTAGATGATCCTTCTGCACAATGAAGTTTAAAACACTTCACCCTTCCCTATTATATATTTCCAGTTTTTCCACTTCTCTTTACAACCTACTGGGCATATATAAATGCAATTAAATGAATGCTGATTTAGCTTATCACTGTATTACATTCCTTTACCATTCATTATTTCATGCTTTGACTGTCAAAAAACAAACTAAGCAAGTGACCTACCTCAAGAATATCGCCCTCTGTAGAATGCCCGAATAATAGTTTCTGTGCCTCTACACTTCCTGAAGAATAGATATACACCTTCATTCCAGCCTCTCTCCATTTCCTGACTGCTGGAACTACATCTTCAAAGAACCTAGAGGAAAGACCACCAAGTTAAAATCCAGGAACATGTCATCTAATCAGATGGAAATCTGTCAAATAGATCCATAAGTTCCTCCATTCGTGCCCACAAAGGGTCACCATGAGAAGCAACTCCTAGGAGACTTCAGACTCCTACAGTTCTAATAAGCTTATTACCAGAGTCCCAAGATCAAGCAGATTTGAAGCAATGATTTAGGCAGAGAGGAGAATTATTTTTGACAGACAGCCACACTAATAATAGTAAAGTGATCACAGACAAAATGATGAAATAAGAAAGTAACGAAAAAAATTCCCAAACACTAATATTGTACTATTATATCATCTTTTATGTAATTTATGACAATAGACAGTTAAATTATGTCCAGTTTGCTTTAAGAAAGTATGGAATTCTAGAAAGAATTGCACCCAAAATAATTAAAAGAAAAAATGTTTAGGGGGCTTAAAGCTTTAAACCTTTGATTACCTAGAAGACTGAATTATATTTCTTAAGAGCTAAGAAAACTTAACTATACAGGGAAAAAAATATATGTAACAAATCAGTTACAAGACTTGTACTATCTCACATTAGCTAACCAGCAAGCAGTGTCTGATTTTGATTCCTGACACCTGGTCACTTTTACCAATTCTATGGTGTCTTCTATATTCAGTACAGACAGTCCTCAGCTTACAAAGTATTTGAGTTATGACGAATCACACTTATGACCGTCCTTTTTTTTTGGTACGTCTTATCATTAGTAATATGTACTACATACAATGTTGCAGTGCGTAATTTGCTGATGTTATCATTCGCAGATGTTCAATGTTATGATTTACTGTT